TGTCTCTACATTGGTCCAGGATAGGTGAGTGTCTCTACACTGGTCCAGGATAGGTGAGTGTCTCTACACTGGTTCAGGATAGGTGAGTATCTGTACACTGGTCCAGGATAGGTAAGTGTCTCTACACTGGTCCAGGATAGGTGGGTGTCTCTACACTGGTACCAGGAATAGGTGAGTGTCTCTACACTTGGTCCAGGATAGATGAGTGTCATCTAGACCGTCCAGGATAGGTGAGTTGTCTCTACACTGGTCTAGGATAGCCAGTGAGTGTCTCTACACTTGGGTCCAGGATAGGTGATTGTGAGTGTCTCTACAATTGTCCAGGATGGTGAGTGTCTCTTCACTGGTCCAGGATTCCAGGATAGGTAAGTGTGTCTCCACACTTGCCAGGATAGGTGAGTGTCTCTTCATGGTCCAGGTAGGTGAGAGTCTTCTACACTTGTCCTGGTATTGGTGAGTGTCTTACCATGGTTTCAATGATAGGTGAGTGTCTCTCACTGTCCAGGATAGGTGGGAGTGTCTCTACACTGGTCCAGGTAGGTGAGTGTCTCTACAATTGCTCCAGGATAGGTGAGTGTGTCTCTTCACTGGGTCAGGTAGGTAGTGTCTCTACACTTGTCCAGGATAGGTGAGTGTCTCTACACTGGTCCAGGATAGGTGAGTGACTCTACACTTGTCCAGGATAGGTGAGTGTCTCTACACTGGTCCAGGATAGGTGAGTATCTCTACACTGGTCCAGGATAGGTGAGTGTCTCTACTCTGAGTCCAGGATAGGTGAGGTCTCTACATGGTCGGGATAGGTGAGGGGTCTCTACACAGGTCCAGGATCGAGTGGTGGCTCTACTGGTCCGGATAGGTGAGTGTCTCTGCACTGGTCCCAGGATAGGTGAGTGTCTCTACACTGGTCCAGGATAGGTGAGTGTCTCTACACTGGTCCAGGATAGGTGAGTGTCTCTACACTGGTCCAGGATAGGTGAGTGTCTCTACATTGGTATAGGACACACACACACACACACACACACACACACACACAGTTTTATCAACAAATTACAGAACACACAAATACATTTTACGCAAAACAAGACAAAATTTGTGCCAACACTATCGCATTTTTTAAACTGCTGGACACAGAGTTGCAAATCAAACATGAATCATTAAGAAAATCGTACAGTCGTTCCATTGTGACTGAAGTGAACCCAAGGGTCGAACAGCGCAAGCACAAACAACTAGTATATCTGTGAGCAAACCCAGTATGTGGAAATATGGAATAAGTGACACATAAACATTATGTAGGTGACATTCAGGTTAGGTTACGTGGATGACACGACACTCCTAGTCCGGAAGGGAACAAGATTGAGAGAGCTGGGAGGGGTGGTTTGCATGTTTGGAGGGGCGACAGGTATGACGGTAAACGTTGAGAAAACAAAGATCATGGGGCTGGGGGCGTGAAGAGACAGAGTTAATTGGGACTGTGACGTGGTGAGAAGGCAGGAAGGGCAGCTATTAATATGTGGCATTTTGTATGGGGCGACCATACGGGAGGCTAGGGAGGCGAATTCGTTGAGACTGGTGGAACGCGTGGAACGTCGGTTGGGGATGTTACGGCCTTATCACTTAACATTATTGCAACGGGCGATTGTTATTAAAGTATTGCTGTACAGTAAGGTATGGTATGTAGCAGCAGTTTTTCCATTGCTGAGGGCTGAGATTACTCGTATCCTTAGAAGTGTTTTTAGGTTCTTATGGGGCTCAGGATGTGAATGGATGAAGAGGGAGGTGGTGACTTTGCAGGTGAGGAAGGGAGGTTTAGGTTTGGTGGACCTGGGAAGGAGGGTGAAATGCATTTTCATCAGGTGGGAGTGGAAAAGACGAGGGGACCACACATGCAACGATTGCATCACATTTTGAGGGGAATGTATGGAGGTGGGGAATGGAGGGAGTGTGAGATTTTGTTGAGGGCACTTTTGTGGGCGCGCGAGCCAGAGAAATTACATGTGAGGGATTTATATCGAATATTGAGGGTAGAGGAGACGGCCCCAGTTGAGGGGCTGTTCCCGATGTATGCATGGGGCGCTATATGGAGTCTGTTCGGTAAACTAAAGCTAGGGCCCAGGGTGCGAGAGATCATATTTAAATTTTTACACGGGATTCTGCCTACTGGATCAGTCTTCAGAAATAGACGTGTCGTAGAGGAGGGTTGGTGCGGGTTATGTGGGGAGTTGGAGACAGCCTATCACGTGGTATACTTCTGCGATTATTTGGGGAGTGTGAGGGAATGGCTGGGGAAAGTGGTCAGGAGGATAGGAGGAACTGGGGTGTCGGTGTTGAGAGCACTAAGTCTTGATATAGGGGGGGGGGGGAGAATGTAGCACGGGGAGTCGCTTTTATAATGGTGGATTTCCTGTACATATCGTGGGGAATGAGAGGGGTGGATAAGGGGGAGGCGAGGAAACGAGTTTTAGCGAAGATTTTTTGTAGGACAATGAGTAGGAATCGGGAAATTTATGGGAGGAGATGGGAGGAAGATTTCACTGAGGGTTACAGGTCCATCACTGTTGGGGAGTTGCTAGAGTTGTGAGGGGGGGAAGTGGGTTTAGATTGTTGTGTAAAGCGTTCGATAAAAGGAGGGGGGGTACCAAACGGGCTTGCCAAACGAAAGATGTTGGTGGGAGGAGGTTAGGCGTGCATGTGTGTAATTGGGATGTGCATGGGAGTGCTGAGTTCATGTGTTCTTTGTGTTAATTAATATTTCTCAATTAATACCTTCTGAAGAAGGCCTTTGTAGTAGCGTATAATAGTAGAAGTCTGAGAACGCTGCATGGGACAGCAAAAGAGATAGGATTTGACTCCTATTGTAAACTAGTTCAGGTATGATATCATGGTACTTAAGGTTATGTTAATAATATTATGGAAAGTCCAACACATCTTGTGATCCTGACTTATGCAACAATGTGGGGATATCCAGAGGGGTGGGTATAGCAGGGAGGGGGTGGGTTATAGCAGGGAGGGGGGTGGGTATAGCAAGGAGGGGGTGGGTTATAGCAGGGAGGGGGTGGGTATAGCAGGGAGGGGGGTGGTTATAGCAGGGAGGGGGGTGGGTATAGCAGGGAGGGGGGTGGGTATAGCAGGGAGGGGGGTGGGTGTATAGCAGGGAGGGGGGTGGGTATAGCAGGGAGGGGGGTGGGTATAGCAGGGAGGGGGGTGGGTATAGCAGGGAGGGGGTGGGTATAGCAGGGAGGGGGGTGGGTATAGCAGGGAGGGGGGTGGGTATAGCAGGGAGGGGGGTGGGTTATAGCAGGGAGGGGGTGGGTTTTAGCAGGGAGGGGGGTGGGTATAGCAGGGAGGGGGGTGGGTTATAGCAGGGAGGGGGGGTGGGTATAGCAGGGAGGGGGGTGGGTTATAGCAGGGAGGGGGGTGGGTATAGCAGGGAGGGGGGGGTTTTAGCAGGGAGGGGGTGGGTATAGCAGGGAGGGGGGTGGGTATAGCAGGGAGGGGGGTGGGTATAGCAGGGAGGGGGGTGGGTATAGCAGGGAGGGGGGTGGGTATAGCAGGGAGGGGGGTGGGTATAGCAGGGAGGGGGGTGGGTATAGCAGGGAGGGGGGTGGGTATAGCAGGGAGGGGGTGGGTATAGCAGGGAGGGGGGTGGGTATAGCAGGGAGGGGGGGTGGGTATAGCAGGGAGGGGGGTGGGTTATAGCAGGGAGGGGGGTGGGTATAGCAGGGAGGGGGGTGGGTATATGCAGGGAGGGGGGTGGGTATAGCAGGGAGGGGGGTGGGTATAGCAGGGAGGGGGGTGGGTATAGCAGGGAGGGGGGTGGGTATAGCAGGGAGGGGGGTGGGTTTATAGCAGGGAGGGGGGTGGGTATAGCAGGGAGGGGGGTGGGTATAGCAGGGAGGGGGTGGGTATAGCAGGGAGGGGGGTGGGTATAGCAGGGAAGGGGTGGGTATAGCAGGGAGGGGGTGGGTATAGCAGGGAGGGGGGTGGGTTATAGCAGGGAGGGGGGTGGGTTATAGCAGGGAGGGGGTGGGTATGCAGGGAGGGGGGTGGGTATAGCAGGGAGGGGGGTGGGTATAGCAGGGAGGGGGGTGGGTATAGCAGGAGGGGGGTGGGTATAGCAGGAGGGTGGAGGGAGTAACATGATTGAGATCATGTTGAGAGGGATAAAATTAAGTAATATGCAAGGTGAGGGCTTGGATACATGTCGGGTTTATAATTGTATGACTGGGTATGCATTTGTATTCTTGTGGTATAACATACTTATGTTTTAGGTGTATTGGGGAATGTATGATATAGACGTTGTGTCGTTTTGGCATAGTGTGTCGGAGGGGAAATAATTATTAGGTAAGAGTTTGTAATGTGTTTAGGGAAGTGGGAAAGGCCGGTATAAGTCACTATATGGCATTATGCTCTTTTATTGGTTTTAACAGATGCACGCATCATGTATATACTTATTAAATTGCTCTAGTTATGTTTGACCTGATGTAGTGTCAGGCCAAGTTACTGGCTAGTACCACATACACTGTACCTTTTTCTTTGTGCACCTAGCCATATAGGTACACGTTTAGTTAGTGCTGTTCAAAGGCAAAGTTCATAATATGGCCAGGGATGTGTATATTAATGTATTGTATTTCTGGTGCAGGTGATTCTTCTATAACCTATGTTCAGTTATGTATCCCTAGTGTGTATCTGTTAGCTTTTGTCTGTCACATGTAATGGGTTATAGGTAAACTGTGTATGCCGGTATGCTGCAACATTGTATGTTTTATGGTTTAATTGTTTTTCACCCTTGGTTACAGGGTCCATTGTTGTAATGAAGTGTATTTTCATTAAAATATATAAAAAAAGTATAACTGTGAGCAAGCCCCTTATGTGGAAATATGGAATAAATGACACATAAACATTATGTAGGTGACATTCAGGTTTGACACGAAATGTCAGGGATGGTTATAGGTCACAGACAACCTCGAGGTCACATCGTCTGCAAGATGATAAAAGTTTAAATGCTACCTAGAGCGTATAGTAATGAGAGCATCATTAGAGCTTCATCAGTACGTGCTCCGTTTGTTTCAGATCCCATGAAGCAAGAGAAGCAGCAGGTGACCAACAACACGTACTTGTTAATCGAGAAGCTGCGACCCTACACCAACTACTCTATTTATATCAGGACCTTCATCATCTTCCAGGATGAGAGGGAACCCGTCATAGGCGAGCCTTCTCAACCTATCATCTGGCGAACCCATGCTGACTGTGAGCACACTTACCTGTTACTGTTTTAGAAAATTTGGATTCATCCTGCAGTGTGCTGCTGCTGCATTGTATAAGGGTGTCCCGTAAGTCTGGAACCATAGAAATGGGGGAAATGGAACAAAAATACGGCATCAATAAAGAGTTTTATTCAAAGGAAGTGTTCAATTTGTCCACCATTTCATAACAATGGATTTATTGAACATGTTCTATGAATTAAAAAAGTATTATTGCCTTTTTTTTCATTTATCCATTTTGGCTCCTGGTTTATAGGACACCTTGTGCATGATTGCTACACAGTGCTCTGTGTTCCCCGTCATATTCCATCACACAGTATGAGTTTCTTATATAAAGTGACGAAATGTATCAGCAGCCTGAGGCTGGAAAACCTCAGAAGAACAATTAGGTTCTCATCAAGTGTGCCATTATGTTTTCAGTGACTACAAGAACAAACGAGGTTTCGTTCCAGCACAGCTAGAGTTGCTAAAACTGGTGAATTACCATCTCTGAAGATGGCTTATTCCATACACAGGAGAAATGGATTTTTTTTATGAAAAAATCGGTATATAGCAGGGAACCAAATATCACGCATTATATATATATATATATATATATAATATATATATATATATAAATATATTATATATATATATATATATATAAAATATATGGTTTAGAAAGACACGTAAGCAAACACTATAACATATTTATTAGAAAACGTTTCGGTCCTGGGACCTGATCACTTCTAACATACAGAGGTAGAAAGACATTATATATATATAGGCGGAGAGTGAGATGTGACGCACGTGGACCTGAGGAAGTCATAAGAACATAAGAATGGAGGAACACGGTAGAAGGCCTACTGGCCCATGCGAGGCAGGTCATATCAAACAACCTCTGCCTATGAGGACGGGTAGACGATGAAATCATGTGACTCCTGTGTTGTTGGGTTGGTTGCTGCTAAGTATCATGTATGCCAATATTTTTGAAATTTTGTAGTTTCCAGTGTTGCGTTCTATAGTGTCGGTGACGGCGATTAGTGAGGCTTCTAGCACCGTCGGCGTCTGAGGTCTGGTTCGGTGAGAACGAGTTGTGCCTCGTTCCAGTTCATCAAATGCCCCGTGGAGTCTCTGTGGAGGACACAGGCGTACCTTACATCGTCTCTGTTAGAGGCTTTCGATGCTCATTCAGGCGGACTGCAAGATCTCTGCCTGTCTTGCCTACATATTTTTGGGACAGAACCACAGGGATAGTGTAGACGCCTGCTGTAGAAGTTAGAGGTGTGGGGCTGCGTTTCGTAGTGAGGTCTTTGATAGAGGATGTGTTTATGGTGGAAACGTTGATGTTACTCACAGCAAGTGCCCGGCGAGTATTCGTGGCAACATCGCCACATGGGAGTACTATGAACTGTTTAGGGGGCTGTTCCATGGGCGGTTTGTTGAGGATAGCTTGTGCCTTGAGTCTGCAATCTCGGATGAAGAAAGATGGGAACTGAAGACGTGTAAAGGCTTGTGATATGTAAGTGCATTCTTCTTCTAGAAAACAAGGGCTGGAGATGCGAAGAGCTCTCAAGAAGAAGCCAATGAGGACTCCTCTCTTAGTGCGGGTGTCTTGGTGTGAATAAAAGTGTATAAGATCGTCCTGTTGGTAGTTTTCTATACACTTTGAAGAGAAGTTTGTCACTGTCGGGAGATCAGCACAGTAGAACGTCGAGGAAAGGAAGTTTGCCATCATTTTCGAGTTCAAGTGTAAACTTTATTGATGGTTCAACTGCATTGATCTTGTTGAGAAGGGTCTGGATATTGAGACGTCTCGGATAGAAAACCAATATATCATCAACGTATCTTAGCCAGGTAACGGTGTTGGGAATGAGGGTGCTGAATTTCTGTCTCCAAGTTTTCCATGAAGAGGTGGCAAGCACAGCACTGAGCGGGCTGCCCATTGCCATCCCAAAGCATTGTTTGTAACAGTTGTCCTGGTACTTGAAGAAGTTGAAATTAACACACAGTTCCACTAGACTGATGAAATCTAGAAGAGGTAAAGGGAGGTCGTGGTTTTCAGTGAGCCTCTGTCTCAGAATGTTGATTGCAGCGTCAGTAGGAACGTTGGTAAAGAGGGCTGTGAATCGAAGGAAGCCATGCTTTTGTTTTGACATTCAGGTTGGAAATTCGGGAGAGAAGGTCACCTGAGTGTTTGAGGTGGGCTTGACTGATAGTGCCCAGAAGCGCTGAAAGGTATTTGGCAAGGTGGCCGGCTAGTCTGTGTGGTGCACTCCCTATGCTGAAGTGATAGGCCGTAGTGGGATGCCAGGTTTGTTCTAGGAAGGCCATACAGGCGTGCTGGTTTCGGTTGACCTGGTAAAAGTTTAAGTAGTTTTTTGCCTTGTTCTGATTTTCGTAAGATGCTACGAGACTTTCCTTCAAAAGGCTCGTAGCATCTTACGAAAATCAGAACAAGGCAAAAAACTACTTAAACTTTTACCAGGTCAACCGAAACCAGCACGCCTGTATGGCCTTCCTAAGACACAAACCTGGCATCCCACTACGGCCTATCACTTCAGGCATAGGGAGTGCACCACACAGACTAGCCGGCCACCTTGCCAAATACCTTTCAGCGCTTCTGGGCACTATCAGTCAAGCCCACCTCAAACACTCAGGTGACCTTCTCTCCCGAATTTCCAACCTGAATGTCAAAAAACAAAAGCATGGCTTCCTTCGATGTCACAGCCCTCTTTACCAACGTTCCTACTGACGCTGCAATCAACATTCTGAGACAGAGGCTCACTGAAAACCACGACCTCCCTTTACCTCTTCTAGATTTCATCAGTCTAGTGGAACTGTGTGTTAATTTCAACTTCTTCAAGTATCAGGACAACTGTTACAACAATGCTTTGGGATGGCAATGGGCAGCCCGCTCAGTGCTGTGTTTGCCAACCTCTTCATGGAAAACTTGGAGACAGAGAAATTCAGCACCCTCATTCCCAACACCGTTACCTGGCTAAGATACGTTGATGATATATTGGTTTTCTATCCGAGACGTCTCAATATCCAGGCCCTTCTCAACAAGATCAATGCAGTTGAACCATCATTAAAGTTTACACTTGAACTCGAAAATGATGGCAAACTTCCTTTCCTCGACGTTCTTACTGTGCAGATCTCCCGACAGTGACAAACTTCTCTTCAAAGTGTATAGAAACCTACCAACAAGGACGATCTTATACACTTTTATTCACACCAAGATACCCGCACTAAGAGAGGAGTCCTCATTGGCTTCTTCTTGAGAGCTCTTCGCATCTCCAGCCCTTGTTTTCTAGAAGAAGAATGCACTTACATAACACAAGCCTTTACACGTCTTCAGTTCCCATCTTTCTTCATCCGAGATTGCAGACTCAAGGCACAAGCTATCCTCAACAAACCACCCATGGAACAGCCCCCTAAACAGTTCAAGTACTCCCATGTGGCGATGTTGCCACGAATACTCGCCGGGCACTTGCTGTGAGTAACATCAACGTTTCTACCATAAACACATCCTCTATCAAAGACCTCACTACGAAACGCAGCCCCACACCTCTAACTTCTACAGCAGACGTCTACACTATCCCCTGTGGGTTCTGTCCCAAGAAATATGTAGGCGAGACAGGCAGAGATCTTGCAGTCCGCCTGAATGAGCATCGAAATGCCTCTAACAGAGACGATGTAAGGTACGCCTGTGTCCTCCACAGAGACTCCACGGGGCATTTGATGAACTGGAACGAGGCACAACTCGTTCTCACCGAACCAGACCTCAGACGCCGACGGTGCCTAGAAGCCTCAGTAATCGCCGTCACCGACACTATAGAACGCAACACTGGAAACTACAAAATTTCAAAAACATTGGCATACATGATACTTAAGCAGCACCAACCCAACAACACAGGAGTCACATGATTTCATCGTCTACCCGTCCTCATCATAGGCAGAGGTTGTTTTGATAAGGACCTGCCTCGCATGGGCCAGTAGGCCTTCTACAGTGTTCCTCCATTCTTATGTTCTTATGACATTCCTCAGGTCACGTGCGTCACATCTCACTCTCCGCCTATATTGTAATGTCTTTCTACCTCTGTATGTTAGAAGTGATCAAGGTCCCAGGACCGAAACGTTTTCTAATAAATATGTTATAGTGTTTGCTTACGTGTCTTTCTAAACCAACTTGTCGGTATTTATTACCAAGGTTTATACCATATATATATATATATATATATATAATATATATATATATATATATATATATATATATATATATATATATATGCATTTAATACTGAAATAGCCTTATAGCATATTTAAAGCTACATTATATATCTAAGAACACTGGCATTTCCTATGGGGATGCTGGTAGTATGCTTTAGATAAGACAGGTATTATTATTATTAGTAGTAGTAATATGGGGAGCGCTAAACTCGTTGGGATTATAAGACAGGTATTTGAGATGAAATGAGGTACGGCAACATCTCTGCCTGCAGTTTGAGATGTGTGAAAAAAAAATCATTTTATTTATTCTCACTGGTTAGTTCCAAGTCGGCTGCCGGACGTGGTGCTGACGGCTCTCTCCCCAACAATGCTGAGGCTGACGTGGACTCCACTCACACACGACGAGGCCAATGGTGCCATCATTCACCAGAGGGTACAGTGGAGGAGTAAGGAGTCTCACTACCATGAGGCAAGGGATATTCTCCCAGACCTCAGAGAGTATGATATAAGAAGTGGGTACACTATGTATGTTTAGTAGTAGTAGTAATTGTGTGAAAAAATAATGAAATTCCAAGCGCTTTCGTAATTTCTCACATTATCCGGGATTGTGGCAGTAGTCTCTCAGTGTAAGTCTATGAGAGATACAAACATTTAAGTATACTATACTTGTATATAGAGATACATATCTCTCCTTGTATTTAAACTATTTATTAAAATATTATAAATTATTTACGACTATTGGTTCGTTGGTTGGTTAATGAAGTTTAATGCCTATCGACTGCACGAGGGTTATTAAGACTGCACATTAACTAATCAAGAAAAATTTAATCCCTTTAATACGGTTGAAAATAAACTCTCAGTATTCTTACACTGAGAGAAATAAACACCTGTGACATTTCATGTACCTCTCAACATATAAATACATGCTGAAAGCTTGCCTTAAACCTTATTTTACGATATAAAATGTTCCTGGTGTTTGTGTACAAGTGAACTGCCACCTTGATGAGTGTAAAGGCTTTAAACGTAACTAAACTTCTCCGTATTATATTTTTTTTACACTTTTTCAGTACGTCCTCTATTAAATGAGGTTATTGACAGCACATTTAATTTAAAAGATCCTTAAATAAATGTTGTAGAAGCAGGTTTTCAAGTTACAGATTAGAAAATAAGAGTTTAGCTTTAACTGAACGATCGCCCTCCCTCCCTCCTTCCCTGTTTGCACCAGATCTTCACCCCAACACCTGGTATGAGGCGAGGGTACTAGCAGCCACAGAGGCCGGATACCCACCCCACAACGAACGCTTTTCCTGGGAAAATACAAGATGCCAAAGGTGGATCGCAACCCACAACATCCGGACAAGCATATCGATTTTCATCTCTCGGTCTTCAGTGACAAGCCGACGGATATTCTAGTAAGTGACGATGCTTCTACACACACATAGACACTGACGGATCCACTAGTCGGCCTACGACAAGCAGATTCTTACTTCTGAGACTTTTGTTTTAGTGATGTGATATTTTATGTGATGTTAAATGGTAAGTGCTGCCTTGTGCTGCTACAATTATGTTTTCTCAGGGCGCTGTGGTAGTGGTTTTCGTGATATTGTGATGGTTGTTTTATTGCAATTAAGGTATAGATTGTTATTTTCAAGCAACAATACGAAAGGTGTCTTGTTGCAATGATTTTGGCAGTGGATGTATTTGATAAAGTAATGAGTAATATCATGTATCATATGTTTACTGACACGCTGTGCAAGTTTTTCTAATCTGTGTGTTGGGTAGGATTGTTGTGTGTTACTGGTACTAATGCGGTGTTATATTCTGCTTGGTGTCGTGGTACTGTTGTATCCTGTCTTTCTCTAACTTGCGTTGCGGTGTTGGTATTACTTTGCCTTGTGTTGCGTTCTACTTTATGACGTAGACTGCCTAGTGTTACGTTTTAGTTTGCTTAGTGATGTCGATGTGTAACCTGCCTTTTGTGGTAGTTCAGCAGATTTAGTATTGTGTTGTTTTCAGATTTCTGTTACTTCTTGCCACAAAAAAATAATCTGTAGTGTATTGTAATTCAGTATTTAATAAGGATATGCTGACGAGGTTTGTAACTGTAAAGGTGTTAATGTTCTTTTTTTTTAATTACTGTTGCTTTAGTGTATGTTAGATAGTACTGAACTATTTCTACTTATTTTGCACTCCTCGTGGTAGTTGATTTATGAATTATTCTTAGTAGTGTTGCAAAGTTGTTGTGATTTGATTATAATATACAGTGTTCGAAGATGTCCCTTTCTTCTGTGTCTTAATTACTTAAATACCAAGACTAGTCCTGCTGGTTAATCATGGTCATGGGGTTTCCTCGACATTCTGACTCTTAAATTGTTCCAGTACTAATACTGTGAGTTTAATAACATCATTTCCGTCTTTCTGTCCATGCAGACTCGAGTCTCATTCCATTTTCCTGAAACTAAAACCTACTGTTAGAAATTTTATATTAATCTTTATTGCTGTCATTTTCGTTTTTTTTGTTTTAGAGACCTGCAGTGTTCTTGTCATCTTCACAATTTTCTGTTTCTTGTTTTCTAAAGTATTTGGTAAACTTATGAGACATATTTCATTGGTTATTCACATAAGTATTCCTCTCGTGTATTTTGATGCAGAATAGTGTATAGTATTGTTGGCACTGTCATTGTATGTTGCTGTGATGTGCTGGATGTGGGCATGTGATGTGTTGTGTGGTGCTAATATGATGGATGATGGTACTGTGATGTGTGGTCGTGAGATGGTGGTGGTACTGTGATCGTGAGTAGTTGTGATGCTACTGTGGCAGTCGCCGTCTTGGATCAGTAACACCATGTGAGTGTGTCCTACGATCACTTCCAGGCAGTCTCTCCATCTCCTGCGCTCATTCACTTTTCATAGCTTTTCCCATTATACTCATTCTAGGGAGTATTATTCCTAGGTAGGAATAATACTCTAATGTAGCTTCTATTTCAATTTTACTATTTGGGAGGGGCGGGGGGGGGGGAACTTAAGAAGTTCTAACCTCGATATATTCACTGCTGTCTGTGTCAAACTTTTGATTCTCTATATTTAAAGCTAATTTTTAACTTTGCCAGTGACGTCAGTCAGGTGTGACGCTTTGAGGGTAGAGATGGCAGGTCAGGTGTGATGCTGAGGGTAGAGGTGGCAGGTCAGGTGTGACGCTGAGGGTAGAGGTGGCAGGTCAGGTGTGACGCTGAGGGTAGAGGTGGCAGGTCAGGTGTGACGCTGAGGGTAGAGGTGGCAGGTCAGGTGTGACGCTGAGGGTAGAGGTGGCTGGTCAAGTGTGACACTTGAGGGGTAGTCCAGGTAGCAGGTAAAAAGGAACTGGAAAAAGCAACACCTGGGTAGTAGAACATAATCAGATTTAATCAAGGAAAGAAAATGTTACCTGTGATCCACGAATTCTTCACCAGGACCATAGCTCTACCACCTCCCTGTGACGCAAGGAGACAAAACAGTTCCACACACACTGCAGCCTCCTACCCTTTAATTAACTTCAGTATATCACTTTGGATAACGCTAAATATGCAATGTTTTCTAGAGCAAATCTAATATTTTTGAAAGGGTGGACTGGTAAGCCAGCAGAAGGCCTCGGCCAGATAACCAGAATTAAAGTGGCAGGTCGCAGTAGGACTAAGACCCGTCACTGCGACTGTGGAAAGAAAAAAATTATTAATTATTTGTGTATTGTTCAGTCATCTGTCTGGGTTTTTATTGGCGCCGCTGACGTTTTTATAGTTTTCCTGTATTATTAATTCATTGACGTTTATAATTGGTTATTTAAAATAGTATGGTGATACCGATAAGAAGTAGAGAAAGACACTGCTTACAGTTTCCTCTAATGTCCAGAAGTGTACATTAATGTCTTTTCTCACATGATTGGTAAAATTTTGTTTTTAGACTACAATTAAATAAATCTTAGCCTAAATAAAGTGTATAGAGAAATTTTTCTTTGAAATCGGTTATTTTACGAAGTATTTCTTTTTGTAAGTTTCACTGACTTTGTGGAAGGTAACATGGTTGAGGAATTTGTGTGTGTGTGTGTGTATTCAGGGAAAATTACATCAGATAATGTTTAGACCCATCCTGGCCTCTTGTCTTATTACAACTTCATTTAATAATCGTTAGGTGTGACATGTCAAGATACCCTAACTATATAAATTCATAATTGGGGATCTGTCACTTCTAGTATTGCAGGACATCAAAAAGTTGGGTAAAGTTTGAATGACCAAAAAAAGAAGCCTAGATAAACGGCAGAATAAATACTTTTATAGCAGAGAAACAGCACTGGAACAACGTTTAACTCAAAGGAGTTTTTTTTTCAAATCTCATTTGTGAGTGATGCGTCGCTAATTTGTAGGTTCCTTTTTTCAGACTAAGGAGTTGTATGCAATGGGATTCCTTGGTGTCACTTGGGTAATGTGAACATGTGTACTGCAGGTGGAATGGTCTCTAGCTCCTGCTCTACGGCCAGACGTCTTCACTTACGAAGTGGTGTACAACAGCACTGCTGAGACTACGTACCACAACAACACAGAAGCCTCCGCTACTTCCCTTGTCCTCGGTAACCTGGGTAAGTTCCTCTTTTAATGTTGCACTTAACATCTGATGCCCAGTTTTCACTATGGATGACTGAAACAGCCATGGAACGAGTTCTGTCACATAAATCCCTTATGTACCTTCCTTCTTGTAAGTGTATATACGTGTATGAAGGAAGGACAGAGCTCCAATTGAAAAGAGGTTCTACATATCTCGTCTACCATTAGACGAGAAGTTATAATGTTGACAAGTGATGAGCAAGACACCATGTGAAATACCTGTGTATTTTCTTTGGGACTTTTCGCCTGCGTGGCAGACTTTATCAATGTAACGGAGGCGAGAAGACTGGGGCTTCTATACTAGAATCTGGGGAATCGGTGGAGAGGTGCAGCAGTTGAAGATTTCGTCACATATGGGCGAAGCCAATTAGCTTAGGTAAGTTTGGCTTATAAAATAAGCTAATGATTTAGCAATGATATTGTGGAACATATTATCTGTGCCAAGATTCCATGGTGTTTCTATGTCATGTAGATGTCAAATTAATGATTACTTCCAGTTCTCCAAGGACTGTAGTGACGTCTGTGCGTTTAACGTCTCGTTTGTTTAATTTGCTCTGACTTTTATATTTCCGATAAAATCAAAATCGTGAATTTGCATCATTTGCTGATAATTTTATTCACTAGAGTTCTTGGTAACATCTTCCAAGGAAAGTACCTTGGTTATTGAAATTCTCTTGATCTAAAGAATTTTTACCCTTACCCAGATCAAATATGATTCTCATTCCTTAGTTCTGTATGACCAATGATGCCTTGAAGCTTCTCCTTGAATATAAGTGATAACTTTTTATCTTCAGAACCAGACACGTGTTACACTGTGAAGGTGGAGCCTCACTACAAGGACAGACACGAGAGAGTTGGTGAAAGGCGCACTGGGCGCACTATCTGTACTCTGGTACCTGATCCAACCAATCTTCCGCCACTTGAATATACAGACAAGATAGGCATCAAGAAAGTTAAGGTGAATGTGTGTGTGTGTGTGTGAGGCTAGTTGGGCTAGTTTAACTTGGTAAGATAGCATTTGTGTTGCTTCTTAATTTTACCATGGTTGTTCTTGTGGGTGCAGCGCTGTATGACCCTTACGGGTTTAGAGCTTGGTTATGATTATAATAATGTTTTTATGGGTGTATTGTATATATTTCTGGAGCTAAGAGCACTGCGTCAGCCAACAGAAGTACTCTTCAAATCAATTCATTTCATTCTTCTGACACTGATGCTTCGCTGACAGTTGACAAAAATCTTCAAAACGGCTAAAAAAACAACTTGTGTCTAATGAATTAACGTCAGGTAAATAACGTGAAAATTTTTGTTGGTAAAAATGTCATTTGATAAGCATTATCTAGGAAAATCCAGACGAGAAAGTTTTGGAATGGTATAGCCTCTTCAAGGGGGGCTCCTTGGCGTGGTGAAGAGGCTCTTGGTCTGAGGAATTAGACCTATCGGTCTTCTTCCTCAGACCGAACCTAATTACCCCCCAATCTCCCCTCCCCTATCCCATCCTCCCCATCCTCCCCTTTTTCCTTTCCTCCTCCTCCTCCCCACTCCTCCCTTTTGCCCTTCCTCTTTTTGTCCTTTGGGATTTCTCCCACAGCGCGCTAGTTCCTAGTAGGAGAAAAGGATACCGGGTCCATCCCATTCCGTTGAGGTTCTTAGCGGTGGCGTAGTTTGCCGTGGAATCTGGATCGCCTGGGGATGTCCCAATCCCTCTCCGGTACCCCCGGAGTAGCTTTGGTGTCTTTCGGGCGACAGTGTATCTCGGGAAGCCACCTTTCGGATTCCGGGGGTGGTGGCCGAAGGAGGTATGCTTTGGGGCGGATATCCGGCCGCCCTCTTTTTTTGCCCAAACCGAGGTAGCTCGGCAGATGTGAGGTTGCTATCCCGGATTGTTAGTTTACTAGCATGATGGTAGGGTAGGGCACGGGTTCCATGCTGCATCTGCGCTACTTGCGGTGCTGAGGTCCTCTTGGGCGGGGAGGGAGATTTCTGGCCCTTCATTCCTCCTAGGACCTATCCCTCCCCGGTCCCCCCCCTTTTTTTTTTTTTTTTTTTTTTATTTTCTTTTCTTCTTTCTTTTTTTTTCTTAAAAACAAAAAGAAAGAAGTAACCTAACCATGGCAGCCCTAGTCCATGAACCTGGTACCCCCGGGCCCCTTCTTGATACCACACCCCGTTCTGACCCCCGCCTCATCTTTGGACCACTCTTCAGACATTCCTCATGCCTCTGTACCTATTGCCGGTGCTGTTTCCTCACCCGCTTCGGGACTGAGGCCTCGACTGACTCCTTCGTTTTATCGGACCTTCGCTCTCCTCTACTATGCTCCGGCCTCTCCCTCTACGGTGCGGCAATTTTCAAATCGCCGACCCATTCCACGTCGGACCAACTCTGGTCCCACGCCTAAACATCAACGACAATTACCTGCTGATGATACTTCTCCACCTTCTCGTTCTTCTCAGAAACGTTGACACGGTCCTTCACTACTTTTCCACGCTCAGTTTCAGACTGAACAGTGGACTAAATTCTTCACTTTACGACCAACTTCCTCTACTGCCTATCTTTCTGACCATAGTAATGGCAAGGCACTCCTACGCCATGTTGGTAAAGATATTTCTTTTCATGCTCTTAAGAGCGGTACGCGCATCATTACCGTACAGAATGCTACCCAGGCTCATGAGCTCTCTCGTCTTTCCCATATCGATACTGTTCCTGTCACTCTTGAAAACATCATTCCCTCAATTCTTGTAGTGGTACCGTCATTCTGCCCCATACCATAGTTCAACAAAATTTCCAGACATGTGGCACCGACATTCTAGAACAGCTGGAACTCCAAGATCTCCCAATCCTCAAGGTAGACACTTACTTTTTTCCTGCCCATGGGCGGAGACCCATACCCTAGCAATGTGGCTCGTTTAACTTTTGACAGCCGAGAACTCCCATCCTCAGTTTATATAGCCCGACATCGGTTACAAGTTCGAAAGGGATCCTACACCACAACAGTGTAGAAATTGCGGCGATTTGGCCATCCAGCGAAATATTGCAGATCTATCGCCGAAAGCCCAGTCTGTGGTGCCAATGGACCATTCTAATACGTCTTGCAATCGTTTTCCCTCTTGCCTTAACTGTCCATGAGGCTCACCCTTCGTACTCTTGCCGTTGTCAGGTCTATTTAAACGAGCGGGAAATCCGTTACCTCAAAGAGACAGAAGGTCTCCCCTTTTGCCATGGGGAGTTTCTCATCTCCCGCCTTTCCCAAAGGGGGACTCCCACGTGTTTCTTATTCCCCTGTTTCAAAACGTCCCCCCACTTTCTAGTATCCCATTTTCTACACCCACCTCTGTGGTTACCTCTCCCATAATCACCCTGTATCTAATCCTTTTGCTGTCCTCGGCTCAGACGTCCCTACTCAACACCTCAGTCTAATCTCACTTCCTTCGAGTTCTCTCTCCCAAGCCTCAGTATCGACGAGACCTCGTACGACACCCCCCTCCCAATCGTCCCTCTACTTCTCAAAAGTCAAAAAAAGGGCCGGTAACACCTCCTACCCATCTTCCACCTCCTCATTTTACCCTCCCTGTCTCTGTCCCTAGTTTTTCCCCTCTCACTGGCTCAGTTACAAGTGCAGAGGTTCACCTCCTCCTCGTAATGTACCTTCCCCCCTGTTCCCTCCCAAGTTTTCTTCCTCTTTCTGCCACCTCCCAGTTTTCCTGCCTCTTCTGTCCCCTGCCACGCTTCCTCCAGTTCCCTCCACCCTTTCGCCCCCCCCTACCTTGGTACAGTCCAAAAACAGTTCCAATCTTTACTCATCCTCCCCCTACCATTCCCAATATTTTTCTCCCATATGACATCTCTGAATTCCGAAACACTTGAAGCAATCTCTGAATAATTGCAGAGACCAAACCATCAAAGGACACTGATCCACCTTCCGCCTTTCTCTCTCCTCTGCTCCTTTTGGGGCAAACTCCTTTCTTTACAGCGCACCGTTCCTTCGCTGCTTGAACATTTTCCACTGCCTCCGCATGTGGACTTTTCTAACCCTTCTAGTCCGTAGGAACCCTTACCTGTGGATTTCAAGTATCTTTAAACATTGCCATCATGGCCTATTTACAGTGGAATATACGCGGCCTCAGGGGTAATGGGGTGAGCTTCATATGTTACCTCCCAGTTTTCCCCTGTTGGTTTTGTTTTACGGGAACCCAAAAATTTACACTCTGCTGTTATTTCTCACACTCGGGTTTAAATTTTATTGTTTTCTTCAACCCTTTTTCCTGATGGACCTTAAAATAAAGTGCCCTTCTTCCCGCACTAAATTTTCCGTCCATCAGCTATTTTTTCATACTTCGCTGCATTACACACACCCTATCCACTTACATAGGGGGTATACCTCGTTCTTTAATCTCTCCCTTCTCGGGCATTATCTTTTCCCGGGATTTTGTTCCTTTTTCTCTTTCCCCCCGCCACCGTTTCCCCTTTATTTGGGTGTTTTTAATGCCCCCCATTTCCCTGGGGGGTCCACTGTGATTCCCGTGAATTCAGTTAAGGGTTTTCTTTCCACCCACCCCCTCCTGGTTTTTAAAAACAGGACTCACCCCATTTTGATCCTCGGACTCTACCTCCTTGCATCATCTCTGTTTTCTCTTCCTCCGCCCCATTTGACTTCACTTTGGGCTGTTCTCCCGGACTTACATGACATGATCATTTCCCCAAACATTCTTACTTCCCCTTCAACCCACCTCTGCACCCCACGCGGCAAATTTAATCGGGCAAATTGGAACCTTTTCTCACACCAACTGTTTTTAAAAGGTTCCTTCTTCGTCCTCCATCGATGACTTTTACACCTCTTCTCGCCCCGCACCCGCTTCTCATTCTATACCCCAAACTTTGGGCAGGGACTCAAAATGCTGCCTTGGTGGGCTCCTGCTTGTGCTCGGCAGTACGTTTGAAAAGCGCTGCATGGGGGAGGTACCGGGAAAAAATAAACCACAACGACTCCTTGATTTTAAACAAACGTGCGATCGCCGCCGTGTCATCCGTGACCTAAACGCACTTGCTGGCGAATTTTCTCCACCATCACCTCGCTTCCTCTATGAGTGCAGTCTGGAAAAAAAATACAAAACTGGTGGGGAAATATTCTCCGACCCGCTCCTGTTTGCGGGTTGCCGGGGTTTTTATAGCAAAACCCCCCAGATGTTGCCAATAAATTGGGAATCAACTGGGCCTATTTCTCAGGGGCTCCATCTATCCCCTCAAATTCTTTCCTCAAAAAATCTGCCAGAGAGTTGCACCCTTTGGGCTTTTCTTCCCAAGAAAAACAGTATAAGTGCCTTTTACCTTCAAAAACTGGAGGCAACACTCTCAGCTTTTCGATCATCGGCAGCTGCCCGCGACATCAAATTCCGTATGCAACAACATTTACATCAGTCAGCCCTTCAGTCCTATTACGCCTTTACAATCTTATTTGGTCCACAAGGAGTTCTTCCAACAGCTTGTGGAAATTCCGCCATGGTTCTCCCTTTCCGCAAACGCAGCACAAAATCACGGAACATGAAACCTCCCACTATCGTCCCATATGCACTTACCAGTGCAGTTTGGCTAAGTAATGACAAGAACGCCTAGTAAATAGACGTTTAGTGTGGTATTTAGAGACACACAACAGTCTCTCCACGTCCGTCAATATGCTTTCGTAAGGGACGTTCCTACATTAGACCCCTTACTAACGCTTGGATACGTATGTTCGTAATGCCTTTGCGAATAACCACTCAGTATATGGCATATCTTTTTGACCTTGATAAGGGGCATATGACCACAACTTGGAGGTATAATATTTAGCCAAGCCCACTCTTAGGTCCATCGGTAATCTACCAATCCTTCCTTAAGACTTTTTTACTGACAGGCATTTCCGTGTACGGGTTACAATTGCTCTCCCCGGACTTATCCAAGCTGAAGGTGTCCCCGCAGGGATGTGTTCTGAGCACAACACTTTTCTCCTCCTTGCTATTAATGATTTGGGCCTCAAGTCTATCCATCAAATATTTGGTCATCACTCTATGTTGATGACTTTGCTATTCCTGTGCAGCGCTGACCTGTCACCCCTCCTTACAGTTTTCTCTCTACCAACGGCAAGTCGAGACCGTGTTCAATTGGGCCACCACACTGGGTTTAAATTTTCCAGCACTAAAACCCACCAAATCACTTTCACTAGACGCTCTGGTTCATCTCCATCATCCTTTGTACCTCTATGGCTCCCGTATCCCTGAACGGTGAATACAAGTCATGTTTCGGCCTCCCTCTTTGATCGTAGGTTATCCTGAAACCTCACATTTACCTCTCTGAAGGCAAACTTGTCACAGCCGCTGAACCTTCTCAAACCCTTTTGCTATCTTTCGTGGGAGCTGATCGTTCGAACCCTCCTTTCGCCTACATTCCACCCTTATTTTAATCGAAACTTGATTATGGTGACCAGATCTATTCAGCGGCATCTCCTGCTACTCTCTCTAGCCCTTAACCCCATTCATCACCAAGGATTACGTTTATGCCTTGGTGCTTTCCGCCTCTTCGCCCTGTCGAGAGCCTCTATGCATAAGTGAACGTTCCATCCTTCTGATCGCCGTGATGCCCATTGCCTGCGCTACTATGTATCGCTCTCATGATCTCCGCAATCCTTCCATTTAGAGAATGTTCCACTGATATTATAGACAGTCTTTATTTGTTCGCCGCCCTGTTTACTCCGTCCCATCTCCTCTTCGCCTTCATTCGCATCTTGTCCTTCTCTTCAACTACCACCTTTCTATGTACATGTAGCATCTCACATTTTCCCTACCCCCCTGGGAAGGTTCCATCTGGTTCGAGTCTGTTCTTTCTCCTCCCTTGCAACGAAAGCCCAACGTCTACGGTCCTTCCCGCTCTCTTTTTTCTTGACCACTTTCACTCTCATTCTCAATGCCATTGCTGTGTACACAGAAGGCACTAAGTCCTTCTGACGCGTAGGATTCGCAGCAGTGTTTCCGATACAGTGTCCGTACAAGGTCATTTTACTATCTACGTGGTTCTTTTTTTTTTTCTCTAGTATTTTTTAACTGCTGAATTATATGCCATCCTTACAGCACTTATCCGTATTGCATCTAGAGGCCTGGGTCATCATTGTGTGGGTTGTCTCAGACTCCCTAGTGCTTTTACAGCTATACCAAATTTTGATACACCTCACCCCTTAGTCCATCCCGTATCCAACTTTGGCTACGCCGCATCTTTACCAAGCATAAAGATATGTTTTTTGTTGGGTCCCTGGTCATGTTGACTACAGGCAATGAACAGGCAGACACTGCTTGCGCGTCAGGCAGTACATGACCTAGCCAGTTCTTATAGAGGTATTCCATATAACGGACTATTTTGCTGCAATAAACTTCCCACCTCCACACCCGTTGGCAACAACGTTTTGGTCTACCTATGCTCGGCAAACAAATCTCAGTCTATTAAACCGAGTATAGGTTTACTGAGCCGTCTTCATGATCACCAGTGTCGAGGTTGGGACAGACTACTCACTCCCTCTTCGCATTGGCCATACTCGTCTTACACATGGAATATTCTTCATGGAGAGGGCGTCCCTTGCTCCTCTCTGTGAAATTGCCGAAGTCTCCATTATCAGTCAGCCCCATTTCTGTTGGACGCCCACTTATTCAAAGCACGCAGAATTTACCTCTGTCGTCGTCTTCGCCTCCGCTGCTCTCCTCTTTACCTTCCCATCTCGCGATGACCCACCTTTCATCCGGACTCCTCATTGACTTTTTGACACAACGACTGACTACTTCACAAATTCCCTGATACCATCAGCCCTTTCTACTTCCAAATCTCTTGCTACCTTCTACCCCCGTACTATCCCCTGCCCCGCTGTTTTCTGTAACCTGCTGATCATCCCCCCTCCCTTCTGCCATCCAATTCCCTTGCTTCCTTCCCTACCCTGCAGCGCTGTATAGCCCTTGTGGCTTAGCGCTTCTTTTTGATTATAATAATAATTTGGAATGGTATTCTGTAAATTTCGACCTTCATTTGAGATCCTTTTTTGAAGAGAATTACTTGAGGACGCAATATACAGTATCGTGGGGGCTTTTCTATCATTCATTAGTACTCATTACACTTTGCTGCACCAGAATTATTTATCTGATGTTAATCTTTACTATTTACTCTGAACGCTTAAATTTTGTGTGCATTTAGAATATATTTTCTTGCTAATAGGTAAAGGTGTTAAACACAACGAGCATCCTGGTCTCCTGGCGTCCCAAGGGTAAGAGAATCACGCCGGATTTCTTCACTGTAGAAGTCGCCAGTCTGGGACAACAGAGGAGTGAGAAAGCCTCTCCGTACACCATAAACGGTGGTGGTTTAGGCCAGGACGTGGGTGAGGACGGAGTGGCCGAGCACTACAGCAATTTAGGAGCCTCAGGTCGTAGCCCTAGGGAGCAAGATGTGAGGGATGATTACGGGAAGAGTTACCACGACGACTACGACAAGAATTATCACATAAATGGACTTGAAGGCGAAGGCCTTGGCTCTCCTCAGGTTAGCTCCACCGTGCTTGGATCTAAATTATCCTGCAGCCTCACGTTGCTTGCAAATAATAACTTGTGTTTTCCGGCCTTATTGGTTTCTGTGTGCATGTTACTGTTTGGCATTTGAAGCCGGTGTATTTAGAATTAAGAAATTATGCAAATGGTGTAGTCGTTTTGGTGAGAGAATGGTTGGGGCTCTAGTTCCGGTGCGTAGAAGGTTAGGGTCTGTTTTTCTGTTCCGCGTATGGTTGCTTCATTTGTTTTGGTGTGTGCATAGTTGGTGTATTTTACGTCTGTGTTTGGTTGGGGTATTTGATTTGGCGAGTGTCGTTTTGATGCCTTTAATTTTTCGCCTGCGTAGCTGGTGCATTTCTTCCTGGGTGAGAATTGTCGATACCCTTCTGCTACGACTGAGTAGTTGGTGCCTGTGCTGTTGTGAATGTATCGTTACGACAACTGTTCTGGGGGTTGTGGGGTTGGTGCGCATGTTATGGAAAGTTTATGCTTGGTGTTCTTGTTGTGGAGAGTGTTTAATTCTTACATTTGTTATGGGAAGTGTCTGGTTAATACAGGTATTCAGGCGCGTGTATAGATGGTCCACTTGTTCGAGTGTTTGTGTGGTTAATTCACTAGCAGTAACGAATGTGTTTTTGATAGCTTTGTTTGGCGAGTTAATGGTCGGAACATTTGCTCTTGTGCGTTTGTGGCTAGTGCACTGGATGTGGCGAGCCTGTTGCTGGGGCCTTTTCTCTACGTTGTGCCTGAGTGGTGAATTGACCTTACTGTGTGTGGAACTAGTTCACTTTTTCTGGCGTAAATGCAGCTTCCACCTTAGTTTAGGTAAGTATATGGTTGCTGCATTTGTTCTAGCTAGTGTGTGGATAACACCTTTGCTCTGGTCCATGTGTAGCTGGCTTCTTTATTCTTTCGAGTGCATGGTTGGTGCATTTTTTTTGATAGATTTCTGGTTTCTAAGCATGTTAAGGAGCGTGTGCACCTGGTATATATGTTTGGGACTTAGCATAGTTGGTGCTCTTGCTCTGGTAAGCGCATGGTCAATGCATTTGTTATCTCGTCTTTATGAGTGGATGATTATGTCTGGATTGTATGTGGTTGGTGTGTTTATCTTTGTTAGTGTATGGCTGGCGAGTGTTTTGTGGCGCCTGTGTGGTTGGTGCTTCTGTTGTAGCCTTTGTGCGATTGGAACAGTTTTTCTAGTGCATATCTGGTTAGTACCTTTGTTTAATAAAGTGCATAGTCTAAGCATGTGTTTCGGCGTCCGTATAATGTTCTGGCGTCTTTATGGTTGATGTTCGGGTCTCCGAATGGTTGACGTTCGGGTCTCCGAATGGTTGACGTTCGGGTCTCCGAATGGTTGACGTTCTGACATCAAAATGCTGATTGTGTGTGTGTATATATATATAAAATATATAATCTATATATATATATATATATAATATATATATATAAAAATATATATATATATATATATATATATATATAAAATATATATATGTGTGTGTGGGAGGAGGTTCTGTATATGATGTATTTGAGTTTTCTGGGGCATTATTTTGCATGTGGGTATTTATTTTGAAGCAACTGGGCGTTTGGTAGACTAGGCATTGACGCATTAAGCAAACCCCTTTAAATTCCTCACAGTATTTTGAATAAAATAATATTTTTTGTACCTAATTTTATGTGTCCAGATTACTTAAAAACGTACATAAAACTTCCCCTCTTAATGAAATTAAAATTACGGTGACAAGGTGTATAGAAAATGAGAAGTTACATTCAACTTTTTTTTATCTCCCTCAATCTGCGCTCGTGATCCAAGGCGTAAGATTTCGAAGGTATGCACATCTCGCCATAATCAGACAATACTTCTTAACAGACTATTTGTCATCCTCTTTACGGAGTTCGATTAAGTTAGGTTAATTTCCGTTACTTTGGTTAGGTTAAATTGTTACGTTAGGACAAGTACCATTATTGTGTTATTGTTGGTAATTTTACCAACAATATGTTAGGTAAAAGGACACAAGTGCAACTAATGTGAATTTTATTGTGGCAACGTTTCGCTCTCCAGGAGCTTTGTAAAGGTGTTACTTAACGGCTTGACAAAGTTCCTGGAGAGCGAAACGTTGCTACGATAAAATGTCACATTAGCTGTACATGTCTTTTTCTTAACAATTACCGTTATATTTGCGAAAATTAACTCAAATTAAGAAATTACATAGAAAAAATCTTAAATTACATTTATTAACACATTCTTCGTCTTCTACTGAAGAAATTTGAGCTGAGAAAGAGAACATTGTCACCATCATTCAGTGGGCATTCTTGTGAGAGGAATCAGAGTGGGTAGAGGAGGGGGTTAAGAAAACCCAAATTTTACACATTAACCTGGCATAAACTAATAAATATACCACTTTCCTATAACCCCTCACATGTTCATGATTGACCAGAGTGCGACACAGGCGTGTCTTTGCTGTGACACGCTGCACCTTCCCCGTAGACTTTTTTGATTATTATACTTTATTTATACAGAGGTACGAGGACGGAGACAGTGTTAAGTACGGAGATGCAATAGTTGCAAATTTTATGTGTGTGTGGGGTTCATTGGTGGAATATTGGCAGGCCCAAAAAGTGGGCCAAAGATCTAGGAATGATAATATTCTCGCATATTCTTGTGTTATGTCAAGCAAGTATCCTCAGAGCAAAGGTTTGTAATATCGTTTATATAATCGAGCCTAACACTTACAAAAATATACATTATCCACATAGTATTCTACTGACTTGAGAGGAAACTTTGAGGGTAAGAATAAGAGGAAATACTCTGGGTAACCAGCCTCCTGTATATTCCATATAGCTCCGTATTCCACTGTAGTTCAGTAAAGCCGCTCCACAGACCAGGCATCACTCCTGTGTCTTCCTCTTCCGAGAGCCGAGACAAACTTGATCTTCATCCTCTGAACTAAGCCTTGGGCTCTCCAAAGTCCATCAGTCAATAAAAATTAAAGTGAGGGTTTTCCACAGATACTTATCCATTCTCAATGTTTTTCCTCAAGCTTCTTTCTGGTAATCGCCAGGAAGTCCTCTGCCCAAGGTGGGGCTTTCGCAAAAATCCTGGACTTAATTTAGCGAACTCAATATTTTCATGTCAGTCTGACCAGTCTCGAGGGAACGGATGCTCTTGTGAATGAAGTTCGTCAAGCTCTTATTGTTTATCCATTTAGGGCTCGGTTTTGATTATAAAAAATAACCTTGTTGATCCTGAGGTCAACCTACAATCCTGGACCCCGAGCTCTTCTAGGTATCGTAGTCCCCTGAATAATCTAATTACCAGGAATGTCTTTACCATTAAATACTGTTCATAACTATTGGCTGTCTCCTGCAAGAAATTTGCTGTTAGATTTTTATGGTATAACTAACGTGTCGTCTTGGGAAATAAAATAATCACTGATACATTACGATTTTTTTTTCCGATAAAATACTTTTCCAGGGTCAAAGAAGTTTTTTTTTTAATACCCATTGGGAAGCGCTAAACTCGTAGGGGTTACACAGCGCCTGAAGATAAAATTCAAGGAAAGGAAGCTCCAATACCTTGGATCAAGAACTCTTCATTGGCATCATGGTTCCTCTTGTGATATTAGGCCTCTGATTCCATATTTTTAATTACTGCCATGACTGGTACTTTCTTTCGTCAAACATCGACAAATTTGCCACAAATCTATATACATCGCTAAACATACCGCAATATAAATATATATCTCCATCCAGCATCCACCCAAGTTCAAATTTCTTTATTTATTAGTTATTATTTTAGTTCTAAACCCGTGAGGGTTAATTACTGGAAAGAACTGTGAAGGTTCGGCTCTCTGCCTCTGCCCCGTCGTGGCGGCGACGTTTGAGCAGTTTTAACCTTAGAAATCAGCACCTCCTTCATCCCTAATTCGGCTTAAATTGCTGGAATGTTTCTCCACTCTTTAAAATTTTCTCTTGGGGATTATGGAAGGTGCCATCTGTTAAACTTTGTGCTCCCACCAGTTAGTGTTGTGGCTTGCATCACCCGAAGAAGATTGGATCTAACAGTTTGCCTTAGGCACACTGAGTGGCTCATTTAGTGGTTATCTGGCAGAACAAATACTATCAGCTTTCACCTTCGGTTCCAGGGGTGGTGACTGATAGTGTGCAATTATCAGCGTTCTTGAAGGTTCACCCTCGTCCGTTACTAGCTGAACGGAGTTCCAGTTCCAATTTGAGTCACCGGCGCTGTCCCGGCCTGAGTCTTGTCCATGTCACCCAGCGTTGGCTCCTCGTTGGGGGAGTATCCTAACATCTTCCATTCTTAATGTCTCGCAGAGAAATATTACTTTGGGGAAAGCTGAATGCTGCTGGCACCTCTGGTGTTTCTGCACCAGAGATGCCAGCAGTGATAAAGATCCATGGGTCTTGAAGTGCTCGACGTCTCTGAACTTAAACGTTTCTTTAATAAACCTCTGATGCTCCCAGTCTATATGGGTAGTTTTTCTGAGCCGTGATCCTACCCAGGCAGTGACCTGGATAAAATAAGGTAAAGTCCCAGAAAAACGGTTAGCGCTGCTCGTTGCATTGATGTGGAGTGTTGGCACTAGTTTAATCACTGACTCCTGGAGTCTTGCTGTGTCACAACCAAATAGTTCCCATAAGGCATAGCAGTTTTCCATTATTTGGATCAAATCTGATTGCCTCCCATTACTCAAGTACTGTATGGACCTTTTATCCCATGAATACAATATGAACCCTATCATTAAACCATGAATACAATATAAACCTTATCACCCCACGATTGTAACCGGAAACACGACGTGTAAAAGAAACTTTGTTGGGTTCACTTGTCGTAATTAAAAAACTTGCACTAGATCCCGGGGCAAACCCCCTTGATATTCCATTGATGCTTTTGAGGTTATTCATCCCAAAAAATGGAAGCTATCCTCCCCTTCCTCGGATCAAACCTGATCACTTTGAAAGCTGCTG